GGGCATCTCTCCAATTAGCAAGTGACATCTAAGTCTAACTACTAAGACTGAGAATGCATAAAAAAGGCTGGTTAATTCAATAACTGAATATCCACCAATCACGAACGTAGATCTAGCCTTTTTGTTGTCAAATTAAATGCCAAACAATAGATCTACGAACATTTCCATTGGTAACACTAACACCCGGTAACCCCCTTCCGAGTGTTTAGTTTAGTGTGTGATGACATGTTACTATAAATAGAACTCCCAGTTCAACTATTCACGGCTTTATTCTTTCACTTCGTCGACCACAGACGCTTAGATTTCGATGCATTTAGAATAAATAAGGTGTTCTTAGTTGAAAAGGCAGCAAAAATACCACCATGAAGCGATACATTTGTATAGATCGCAATTAATTCACTATAGTGAAAATGTAGGTCAGCGTGATTCCCACCAAACAATAACAATCCAACCACACGGCAAGTGGTGGCCGAATAGTCTTATTTTTCAAAACACGATATTCATAAGTCTCCTAGAAGAAAATTATGATAATAGTTACATAAATTGATGCCATAAACAGATATATTGCATGTTTCTTTCACTGAACCATCATATAATCGTCTGCTGGTTGGGTCAAGTCAGAGGGGGCGGCAATGGGCGATGCAACAGCCGCAATGGCAGAATGACGATCTCCCGAAAGTGGTTGTTTCCCCACTTCAGAAAAAGTAATATTTCTACTTCGTGGAACGTAGTTGGCTTTTCTAAACACATAAACTTGATGGTAGAGATGTCTTGGAATATGATCCTGGCACGTATAGCACGATATGTGTCGAATTTCATATTTTAAAATGCTTTCTTCGTCTTTACTTCGCACCAATCACGCTTTCCGCTCGGAATAAAAACATAAACACATTCCCCGGAATTTCTCCTGAAATCCCAGATTTTTATGTTCCAAACCGCAAGAAAATTTGATGATTCACGTCAAAGAAATCGAAATTTAAAACAAGTACCCCCCCCAAATCTAAGCGTGCAAAATTGCGAGATGGTTGAGTTTTCTCGTGCTTAACTTTAGTCAATTAAAAACTAAATATGCAATAATAAGTATCAGTCTCTCGTTCACCAGGGAGAAGGAAAGACACAGAAAACAGTGGTATAATTTTTATTAGTGTTTACCAAAATTAAAACCAGCTAATAGTTGGATGAAGTTGTCCAAATCTGGCTTCAGCCGTGGGGTCAACAAGTAAGAAAGAGAAGAAGTGAAGCGGAAGTGAAAATAAACTTTCTTTCTAAAAATAAAGAGGTTAGTTTTTTTGTGTTTTTTTTATACCCCCGTTTGTTTAGATTTTTTATTCCGCGGCGGTGTGGTTTTAGGAAAAATGCCAAAAATCGCGGCCGCGACAAACGCAGATGCTAGATTAAGGATTGCCTCGTTGGAGCTGACTTCTCTTTGAATGTGACCTCGTTGAATGCGACACCCACTGTAGATCTATTCATATATATCCAAAAGCCATGTTACTTTGGTGTCACTCACTTTTGAGGAATGCTACTTTATGTTAGTCTACTTAGGCTACTTCATAATCTTACTTGTGGCAGTTTGTTTGTCTTTTATTGTTCCCAGAGGTTTGCAATTACAGTGGAATCATGTTATAACGAGAGGGAGGGGACCGGTGCGAAATGTCCGTTATAACAGGATTCTCGTTACAAGGGGTCCAGTAATAAATTCAAGGGAAATAGTAAAGTAGGCCTAATCTATGATTTGGCGTTCTGTTTATTCCTTTTTGTATTTCCCCTGATGATGATTTGTTCAACATGATCAAAAATGGAATCAGGTTTCTTTCTCTAGCACTAGCAATGTTGACAAATCGGCCTTGGCGATCAGAAAGAAGGGGCTCTGGCACAAGGCTAACTCGCCCGCAGTGTTGTCCCCCACCCCACCACACACTGTGGCGCGTTGCGTCTGCTCGCCCACGTCATACATTCACTCCATCCATCTATCACAGCATTGTGACCTCTCCATCCCGCACCAGAAAAGTGAGAGGCACGGTATGCCTAGATAATCTAGACTGGGCTGGCCTATCACATGATGCATTCTGCTTGTGTCTGCGCATGCCACACCCTCCCCACTCATTACTCATTCGCTCCGGCCTTCATTGTTGGTTCACGTGGGCTCTCCCATTCCTTGTTTCGCTGGATCACCGACAACTTTCTCAACTGGCAAGGTTTTATAATAATGTTTAATTGGTCTGTGCGCTGTGCACAGCAGCAGCAATATTCCGTTATAAACGACTCGCGTGACGGTCTGATTGCGCAATAGCAGTATTTTATTTACAAAGATAAAGAAGGGAAAAAAATGGGGTTTTAGAACAGTGTCTTTATAACAGACTTCTCGTTGTTTCAGGACTCGTTATAAGTGGACTCCACTGTATCTTCATTCATGGATTCTCTTCCCCTTTTCTCATTCCCAGGGGCACACAAGCCACCAGGCTGGTCAAAGTCTTCTCCTCCCACCCGGAAGAACTCCAGATGACCCCCCAGGACCCCTTCATTCTGGCCGCTGGGACCGTACACGAGGTGACAGCCGCTGTGCGGCCGGTCAAGTCAGGCAGCAAGTTCTTTTACCTACATGTGGTGGACATGGAGTACCACCAGCTGGTGCGCGCCTGGCTTCTGTGTGCCAGCTGCCGGTCGCCCATCGTGTCCCGAGCCTTTGAGCTGACGCTGCCCGTGGGCGGCGGGAAGAACAACAGCAAGCGTATCACTTACACCAACCCGTACCCCGTGCCCAAACGGTTCCACCTTCTCTGTGATCGGAACGATCTCCTGCAGTTCAAAGAGCCGTTATTTGAGCTGGAAGGCGGAGCGTCGCAGGCGATAGGTTTGAGGTTCATGCCCATCATGCAGCCCGGCTCGGCTGAGATCATGGTGTTTATCAATGACGAGGAAGACAAGAATGAAGAGACGTTCAGAGTGACGGCAACATACAAGTTCATGTAGTCTTGCTATATCTGAAATTGTCTTCTGATTCGTACTCATTTCTAAATGACTAATGTATGAGAAGAAAAAAACGCATAGAAAGCATGATTTAGTATGTGAAAGATAATTATAGTTTTATTTACATTTGTAACTAACATTTTTTTTAGATCTAATGGATAGAAAGCATGGTTTGCATATCTCATTTTCCATTGAAAATACATCCTTATTCAGAAAACTCCTTACATTTTCAAGTTGAATACTTGAATACATCATGGAGCTTTTCTGGTATCGTATTACTCTGTGAATATGCTCGCTTAGTTCAGTTTATTGCTATTTGTCTTGTAAGAGACACCCATTTTATAGGATATATATAAAATATAATATGTATCATCAGCAAATAGATATGATCATCGAAACAAGTACGCACTGTGATAGAATACATTGTAAAGTTGTTGCTATTTATATATTTTGAAAACTGTTTTTTTGTTTTGTTTTAATGTGTCCTACTTAAATTGATCCAGCCATGAATTCTAGTGTGAATTCAGATCAATCATATCAACTGGAATAAATGTTGAACAGCAGTCAATTTTGTACTTGGTCAGGTGATGGAGACCTACTTATGTTTGTATCTAAGTGAAAATGTTTGTCTTTTTTTTCTAGCTTCATTCACTCACCAGAAGGGGAACTTTGCCAAGTGTGTGTGCTGGTGTGTTTGTCATGATGTGTGTTATGCAGGTGTGTTTACCTCACCTGTGTGTGTGTGTGTGTGTGAGAGAAAGAAGGAGACAGAAAGAGGGAGAGGGGCTTAGTAAGAGGGGAAAATGCATGTAAATATGTATAATTAAAAATCACTTTGACAAGGAGAAAAAATTATGTCTAGACTGAACTTTTGTTTATCAAGTTAAGAGTGTGCAGATTTGTTCTAATTTGACCCTAATTTTCCTCTCCTTTTTCTACGCGTTTGAGTTATTTTGTTCCAAAGCATATAATTTTCCTCTCCTTTTTTTAGGCAGCTATTTTCCATTTTTTAAACACATACATTTTTAGTTTTGTTTATATATATATCTTTAGTCTTTAGTCCATAAGTTGCTCTGGCTGGATGTTCATGACGCCCTTTATGATGAAGCTGTGTACAGTTGGCCTAGGCATCATTTTGTTTAGTTAATCATGACATGGAGTCTTGGAGAAAATGTTGCAGTGTTGTATGGTTATGGTTTTAAAAGTAGATTTACACTTTGTTAAGTTTAGAAAGATGCAATGCGAAAATTTGAATAAAATGATTGAGAGAAAAAATTGTTGGGGTGCCAGTCTAAAAGTTTGAAAATTGCCGACCTAGCAATGGCTCTTATTCATTATCCCTAAAATTATTGGCAGAAAGTAGTTGCTCGTGATTCTTAACAGTAACAGTACAGTGTTAGCTATTTAGATGAATTGTTACTTTTCCCCCACACCTGGGTCGCAAATTGGGTCAGTTTTTGTTCATTATTAAAACATTTTGTTTTATTTTCTGATTTTTTTTTCTTGGGGGTCCTTGTTCAAGTGCTCAGAATCTTGAATACTTGATATTTAGCATCATTGTAGTAATGTGTGTGGAACGTTTTTTTCAGGAGTAAGCAGAGTCTTTTTGTTGTCTGGGAGTGGGAGAGCTCTTCTGGAGGAGATCAGTATGGGTTTTTTTCTATTACAGGTAACTAGTTGTATATTGAGTGGAAGAAAACTTGTTGGGCTGGTGTAGATATATAGATCTACATTTTGTGTATCCCAATCCATTTTTTTGGTGCCTTATTCCGTCCTCTCTGCTCGTGATTTTATGACTTTTATGGAAATATTTACTCAACTTTTGTCTCTGTGCGTTAGTCATATTTATGGTCCTTTTTGGGACAAAGATGAATACATGAATAAATATGTAGTCAAAGTACAAGTTTGTTTGTTTTTATGTTTTATAGGCCTACATGTATACATTTGATTTTTGTGTGTAGCTTATCTCACTCTGGGTATGTTCACAAGGGTTAGTTGGAGAGAAAGTGTGTGTGTGTGCGTGCGTTATGAGGGGGAGGGGAGGGGAGGGGGGGGAAAGAGAGGGTCAGTTTTATGACACCAAAGAGAAAGAGAAAGACTGGTTTATGGTGCTGTGGTGAGGCTCTCCGAGGTAACATGCAGAAGATCTTTTATGAATAAAGGTGCAAACACCAAAGTTTGCAGACAACGTCTAACATCCATCCAGATTTATTATGTATCAATTAACAGTAGAATGTGACTGCCACATCCAAAGTTAAAAGATACTTTCCAGATACCACCAATTTCGAGTAAAGCACATTTTGGCACGCTGAGTGAAAGTGACAATCATGCGTTGACACTGGTTGAGGAGAGAAATCTTTGTTGTGCCTCTTCCGTAATGGTTTCTCTCAAGTCTTGGATACTTTCAAAGTTTTTCCCACACAGTTCGCCCTTCTTTAAAAAAAATAAAAATTTGGCAAGTGTTTTACGGCTCTTGCAATGCAACTAAACTCCTTCAAACACACCCAATGGTGAAAGTCCAGTGGACTCAGGTCTGGATTTTTTGGGGGCCATTTGTGCTCTTTCGGACTGACTTCACTGAGAGAGAAATAGGTAGACAGATGCGACAGATAAAAGCACAAAGAGAAAAAGAGAGAGGGGGAGAGAGAGAGAGAGAGAGAGAGAGAGAC